TTAACACAGAGCAGTAATCGCACAACTGCTTTGCTCGGATATAATTTTATCGCGAAAATTCTTGCGCAGTCTATCCAACATAAAGAATATATTTATTTTCTAGTTGAAAAATCGTTGAAATTGCATAGAACACCCGTACATTTATATATCAATCGAACGAGTTACGCAATATTATTTGATAGGCAGTTTCCTCGCGATACTATCGATTGTTACAGATATACAAATCTGCTCATATCAGGAATATGTCCTTCTTTAACTACTATCTGATTGTAGAGTGAAATGGCTCCTATGGATCATGACATGGAAATTATCAGTTGCTCAATTCTTAACAAAAATGAATCTGGTGATGCAAACGAGGAGACAAAATCAATTTCTGATACTCATAATGCAAGAAACGTTCAGAACAACACGATGGATCGTAGAAAATATTGTCTCAATCGAATACTGAATTTGATTACGAAACCTGTCTTCATATTGCTTACATTCCCAAGTATAGCTGTGGTCACTGGTATAGTGGTAGTTTGTTTAACTGCACCAAAGCCACTAGGTATGTCCTTCTTTTACATTTTTTGTATTCATTACAATAAAAATTCGCAATTTGATCGATTCTTTTTTCCCAATATCGTGAATTTTTGATTAAAATGCATAAATTGTAATAATATTCGATACGGATATAATCAAAGTAAATAATGAATTGAGAACATGTTTATATGCATTACAACTATTTCATTTTTCAATTCTAAATTAACAAAATTGATCAGCTTGGATAAAAATGTTATGATGCTCCTAAGTCACACTCAGTGACGCTAGACAACAATGAGAAAGATACGGTCTCTTACAAGGAAACATCACCTACTGGTATGATTTGCTTGAGCTCATAGTTTACTGATTGTTAGAAATCATACTGTAGAGAAAAATTTCCAAACGCTTCATTCCGTTGTTGCTTTATTCCAGAGAAACAAGCATAACAAGATTCTCTAAAAAATAGATTATTGTTTTTTTCATAAAAATTTTCTGCATGTCTTGATTAGAAATCATCACTCACGAGCTGGATTTGAACTATAGTGAAACTAATTATGCCATTCGCTAAAGCTCATCCAGGTGTATTTACCACCTTGTCAAACAGCTGCAAGATGAAATCCCAGACGAATTACCATTGAGATCATTTAACTAGTATCATATTCCGTATGGTAAAAAAACTAGTATTTTGTGATGTCAGGAAGGAGACCTATAACACTATTTTGAGGGAATGGCCGTTGAAATTACTAAAATCGGTTCCTACAATCATTTACGCAATCTTTTTAGCATGAGTTATACCTGATATAGTGATGTGTCTCAATAGACTATTATAAATTAATAAGTCGAATGAGGACATTTCAGCCTAATATTTTGCTTCCATATGTTTCATAACGGGTTATCGAAAGGCTTTTTGACAAAATGTTTGCTCTTTTTTCACTCTCCGGACTAGAAATTTGTGCCTGTTCCCAATATACGCTCAGAAATTGTGTATCTATTTTTGTCTGAGAGTAGTAAGGAAATCTTTGAAAGGTCTAAAACAAATAGTCTGGATGGATCGGTTCGGCCGAAATTTCTGGACAATATTTTATTTATATTTGATGTACTTAAAAGTATTCGAGATGAATGTAAGCCCACGAGGTAGGACTTAAATTTTATGCACTTTCCAAATATGGGCTCAGAAATTGTGTACTTGCTTTTATCTTACAGTACTGAAGGAAGCTTTCAACGTTCTGAAAGATTAATGTGAGTGATGAACAAACAGGCATTTGCAGCCATCGTAAGTTCCTTTGCAAAGGTGCTAAAAATGGTTCAACTTGGTAATTTTGTAGAGAGAACAATTCTTTACAAAGTATTATGTCGAACTAAAATCTAGCTTCTACACAAGGAAATCATAAGCATTTTCGCAATAGCTACTTCTACATAAATCGAATTTTAATCAAAAAATCTATTTTACAAAAATGCAGTTGACAGAAAAACAACAATTTAGGTGTTTTATCAGAACATAAAAATAAACTCAAATACTACATTTTGTAGAGCAAAATTTGCTCTACAAGCTGATATGCCAACAAAAGTTTCAACATTTAGTTTTGAATACGAATAGTGGAAATACGAAAGTGCACGAAAAAAATTTCCGTTCAAACTATCTTTTTAGGCCTTTCAAAGGTTTCGTCACTGCTCTCAAGTGAAAATACGTATACAATTCCTGAGCCCATATTCGGAAAGAACACAAAATTCTGGTCATAATCCTTAACTTTTCAGTCGTCTAGATTCCTTTTAATAGAGTCAAAAGTGCGCAAACATTTTGTCAGAAACCTTTTCGATACCCCGTTAGCTGTTAGAATATCCGACAGCTTTCAGCAAAACTGTGTATGGCTTTTGTAAGATAATGAATTCACAGAAGAACTCGATTGACTTGACTGTGCTTCAACACAAAAGTAATCTTTGCGGCTTCGTTATCTGAAAAAGAACGCGTGCATTTTCCGCTCAAACTTTCGAAATATTCTCATAAGTATATATTTGCGATAATCTGTATCTAGCCACGAGTGAATCCGAGGACGAAAAATGATAATGTAGGAGTTATTTCGTCGTTTAAAAAACGAAGAGATCATTATACAGCTATGAAGGTCATGTTCTTATAGTGCCAAATGACTAGAGAAAAATAGGTCACAGGTTACAGTTATATTCTAATCGTTATTTTTAATTATCGATGCAACCTATTCGTGATGTCATCATATGGCTGGTGCAATACAACAGTATTGGCCTTGTTTTATTTTCGATACAGATCGAAAGTTTCGCCATTATATCATATTTGTGGCGTATTGAATGTCAAAAACGGTATTACGATAGAGACGAGAGTGGTTTTGACCACAAAGTTAGGAGTAATCGACGGTGCTCATTTATACTGGTCGCCATGGCTAAGTATCGTGTTGTTTTGAAATCTTGGCATCACTAACCATGGGATGAATTGGAACAAAGCATTAACAGCTGTTTCTCTTGCAACATCAATTCAATAGCATGTTGAATGTTTTATTACCTACATCTACTCTTGTGGCTTGTATATGGTTAGCTGATGTGTAGGGGAAACTCAAACAATCGACCACGAGAACTCAGAGTCAGACTTATCTTCTGTCTCTAAATATAACTACTTTTAGCTTCACCATAACTATTCGGCTACTGAGTCTTTCACTAGGCTTGGCACCATACCACACGGTAGCTAAAAGCTAGAACTATTCGTCATTCTTCTTTCTTCGTTTCTCGCTTATACCATACCGAATCCAGCGTATGTTCTCTCTTAGTTACTATACGTTGTTCGAACGAAGCCTCCAGTCAATTAAACATAATACGAAATGAGTAATCTAAGCGATGAATCCTGTGACCCTCATTGAGCATCTTTGTAAAGGTACTAACACCGGTTCAAATCTGGCCGTAATAATCGAAGCGTTTTCCCTAGAGTCTCAGGATGCTTAACGGGGCTTCCATGAGTGAATCAAGAAATCGAAGCACGCGTCAAAGTTTATTTTTTTATTGGACGTTCTCATCTTAATCAGCGTCATTTAAAACTTCTAAATCTAAATTTGTAGTGCATTTGGTTGAACTCGTGAAAAGTTCAAAAATCGTTGATTTAAAATTGAGTTCTTTTACATAACAAAATGCTGATGAAACTTTGTTTATAACACACGAAAAGATAGCTTTAAAAGCTGAATAAAACTGGTCTATTTACATATTACGTTTCAGTGTACTCATCTAGAGTTAGTTGCCAAATACTGCCAATGACTGATCATTTTTTATAACAAAAGTATGTCAACTGTTTATAATGTATTAGTTGTGATTCAGTCATTTCATGAGTACCCAAGCTGAATTTGATAGCTTTTGTGTAGTTTTTTTCTCCTCTGCAAAACGGTGAAAAAAGAAGTTTAAAAAACGATTTCCACTTGGAGTGATAAATGACTCACAATGCTGACCACTCAGACAACATTTTTATGGAAAATTACGATAGATATTTTTTTTTGTCTGAAAAATGGGAATTTGAGTAGAATATGAAGTATGCATAGTGTTTTCCATATAAATAAGACATATTTCGATTAACATAGTTATGTTCTGTTCAAAATAAACAATCAAAAGTCATTGTATTTTTTTATAGTTAAGTTCGGTTAGCTAAGCTGAGATAGTTATCACGTCATATGATAATATATGCGCTTTTTGGAGAGAAACCGTCCAGGTTGATTTTCTTTCGTTTAACACAATGTAGGCATCTTATTAAATGCATAGCTATAGACATGTGAGAAGAAAGAAATACAAACAGAAAGAAAGAATTTTATATAGAGAATTTATACAATGGATAGGGTATACTGTAGAAAAAGTTCGCAGAATAAAAAACGGAAGAAACGTTTTTGATAGGGAATAAAACAAAAAAAGGGTGTATGAATTTGCAACGGAACATAAACCCTTTTTTCCGTTCATGACGAAGATAATAAATGGTTTTTCCGTTTATGATTTGGAACAAGGGTTTATAAGATATTTCACAAACGAAAAAAAAAACGTTTGTGTCCTGTTGCAAATTCATAAACCCTTTTTTACAGTGTATTTTTTGGTGTATGACAAAAAAGGCTTCATTAACATTTTGTTATCTAAAAAGAACTCAACTTTAATTCAACAATTTTTGATGATATTTTTAAACTAGACTTGTGAGCACTCGAAAGTTGACATGGAATAACTTTTCATCAGTTCAATCAAATGCACTAAAAATTTGAATTTAGAAGTTTTAAATGACACTGATTAAGATGAGAACATCGAATAAAATAAAAAACTTTGACGAATGCTTCGATGTCTGGCAGGGTCCTCGACTGTCTGGTCTCGTGGACGCTCTTTTAAACGAGTCAGACACAATACACTAAGGATGATTGAACCAAAGTAGCTGATCAGTCTATATTTTTGTGTTCTTGTGTTATCAAGCCTCAAAATGTGACCTGAATTTCAAACAAATGACTCCAAATCCAATACAATATAATTTTGGTCCTCGATCTGTCGCTACTGGCGACTTCGATAATGATAATTGGCCAGATATTGCTGTTGCCAATTATGTAGCTGATAACATAGGTATTTATTTTGGAAATGGGGATGGCACGATGGGAAGTCCAGTCATGCATTCAACTGGTTCTGGCTCTGCTCCATGCATGATCGCTGTTGGCGATTTTGACAACGATCATCGACTGGACATTGCTATCGCAAATTTCGGCACAAACAGCGTTCGTATACTTCTAGGTGTCGAAAAAAGATCTTTCGCAAGTCAAACAGTTTTGTCAACTGAATCATCTCGTCCTGTCTGGGTGTACATAATTGATCTCAATAACGACACAGCATTAGATATTGTCACTACTAACTATGGCACACACAGTATAAGTGTATTTTATGGACATGGAAATGGTCACTTCTCAAAGGGAAGCACATACTCTACGGGCTATGATTCTTTTTCCTCTGCGGTTGTTAGTGGCGATTTCAACAAAGATGGAAAGATAGATCTGGCGATCGCCAATTATGGTACAAACACTATAGGTATACTCCTAGGACGTAGTAACGATACTTTTGAACATCAACGCATCTTTTCAACTGGTCCTAATTCCAATCCATACTCGCTTGTTGTTGGCCATTTAAATGATGACAACGTGCTAGATATCGCTGTCACCAACTATGGAAATAAAAATGTAGGTATACTTCTGGGTCGCGAAGATGGAACCTTTATAAGTCCAACGACATATTCACTCGGCAGTGCTTCTCCGTATGCCATTGGCATTGCTGACGTCAACCAAGACCAACATATGGATTTAATCATCACCAATAAAGGCACTGACAATATAGGTGTACTTCTGGGATATGGAGACGGCTCATTCAGAAATGTAATAATGTATAGAACTGGATCTTCTTCTACAGTTTCCCTTGCGATAGACGATTTTAATAGAGATAATCGTTTAGATATTGTTGTTATCAACAATGACACAAGCACCATAGGTATTCTGCTTGGTTATGCCAATGTATCTGTTGAAAATCGAATGACATATTCAACTGGTTCTTATCCACAATTTGTAGCTGTTGATGATTTTAACAACGATGCCAGAATGGATATCATTGTTGTTAATAGTATCAGCAATAGTCTCAGTGTATTTCTGGGATATGGTAATGGTTCATTTACAAGTCAAGGGACATATTCAGCTGGTACTTTCCCATCCTCCGTAGCTTTTGGCGATTTTAACAATGATACTCGATTGGACATTGTCGTTGCTAATAGTTGGAGCAACCAGCTAAGTATACTTCTCGGATATGGTAATGGCTCTTTTTCAGATCAAACTCAATACTTAACTGGCATTGATTCACAATCTGTAGCTGTTGGTGATTTTAACAACGACAACCGATTGGATATTGTTGTTGCTAACGGTGGGAGAACCGCTGTGGGTATACTTCTAGGATATGGTAATGGCTCCTTTGCTAATCAAAGTTCATATTCAATTGGCTCTTATTCAAAATCTGTAGTTGTTGGTGATTTTAATAATGACGCCCAATTGGATATCATCGCTGCTCATTATGATTGGGATGGCACTGTAGGTATACTTCTCGGATATGGGAACGGTTCGTTTGCAAATCAAGTGACATATTCGACTGGTTCTTCACCATCCTCGATAGCTGTTGGCGATTTTAACAACGACACCAGCTTAGATATCGTCGTTGCTAATTCTAGGGACAACACTGTCAGTGTTCTTTTGGGATATGGCAATGGATCTTTTGCTAATCAAACAACATATTCCACTGGTTTTCGTTCATACTCTGTAGCTGTTGGGGATTTTAACAATGACACTCGCTTGGATATCATTGCTGCTCATCATCTTTGGGACAACAGTGTAAGCATACTTTTCGGGTATGGCAATGGTTCATTTGCAAATCAAGTGACATATTTAGCTGGTACTGTACCATCCTCGGTAGCTGTTGGCGATTTTAACAACGACATCCGATCGGATATCGTCGTTGTTAATCGTGATAACAACACTATTACTGTTCTGCTTCTGTATGACAGAGGAGCTGTGTCAAATGAAATCACATTTGCGCCTAGCGATGGTGCTCGTTTGAGAAATATTGCCGTTTTCGATTTTAATAATGACGACCGACTGGATATCGCTGTTGCCAATTATGGCACGAATAATATAGGTGTTGCTCTTGGACATGGAAATGGCACTTTTGAGAACCAAATGGTGTTCTCATCGGGTTTAAATTCTCATCCTCACTCGATCGCTTTTGGTGATTTCAATAATGATAGTCAAGTGGATATTGCAGTAGCGAATCAAGGCACTAAAAATGTTGGACTGTTGCTGAAAAACGGAAGCGTAACGTTTGAAACTCAAGATAGCTATGGCAACGGTTATCTCTTCGCTCCATCGTTTGTTGCTACTGGTGATTTCAACAATGATGAACGTCCGGAAATTGTTGTCTCATATGATAACACTGACAACTTAGATGTGCTTGTTACATTTAATACCGGATCTTTTGCAAATCCAACGACATATTCAACTGGCTCTTATCCAAAATCCGTAGCTGTTGGTGATTTTAACAACGACAAAAGGTTGGATATTGTCGTTGGTAATTCTGAGGACGACACTGTGGGTGTATTTCTCGCATATGGCAATGGCTCTTTTGCAAATCAAATAACATATTCAACTGGCTCTTATCCATTCTTTGTAGCTGTCGGTGACTTTAATAACGACAGCAGATTGGATATCGTCGTTGCTAATTATGCTGGCAACACTGTAAGTGTGCTTCTCGGATACGGCAATGGCTCCTTTTCAAATCAAACTCAATATTCGACCGGCTTTTCTCCAATATCTGTAGCTGTTGGTGACTTAAACAACGACAACATATTGGATATCGTCATTGTTAATTATTTGGGCGACATTGGAACTGCCCGTCTAGGATATGGAAATGGTTCTTTTGCTAATCAAACGACATTTTCAACTGGCTCTTATTCAAAATCTGTAGTTGTGGGCGATTTTAACAATGACACCCAATTAGATATCGCTGTTGCTAATATTCTCAGTAACAATCTAAGTATACTTCTGGGATATGGTAATGGCTCATTTTCAAATCGAGTGGCATACTCTACTGGTTCTTCACCATCCTCGGTAGTTGTTGGTGATTTTAATAACGACGCCCGATTAGATATCGTCGTTACTAATTCTGATGACAACACTATAAGTATATTTCTAGGATATGGAAATGGATCTTTTGCTAATCAAAAGACATATTCAACTGGCTCTTCCCCCAAATCTGTAGCTGTGGGTGATTTTAACAATGACAATCGATTGGATATCGTCATTGTTCATTCTATTTGGGATGGCACCGTAGGTGTACTTCTCGGGTATAACAATGATTCATTTGCAAATGAAGTAACATATTCTGTTGGTTCTTTACCATTGTCGGTAGCTGTCGGTGATTTTAACAACGACATCCGATTGGATATCACCGTGGCGAATTCTGAAGACAACAATGTTAATGTACTTCTCGGATATCACAATGAAGGTTTTGTAAAACAAATGACGCTTATTACTGGCAATAGGTCTCGACCGAGTTCGTTCGCTATTGCAGATTTTAACAATGACAATCAAACAGATATTGCAGTCGTTAATTCGGGCACTGACAACATGGGTATTTTTCTCGGACGTGGCAATTATTCTTTCACAAATCAAATAACATTTTTAACTGGTTCTACTCCAATCTTTATTACAGTTGGCGATTTCAACAAGGATGCGATAGTAGATATCGTCGTTGTTAATCGTGACGACGACAGCGTTGGTGTATTTCTTGGATGGGGTAATGGTTCCTTTTCAAGTCAAAAGACGTTTACAACTGGCTCTAAATCTCAACCTTATGCGGTTGCCGTTGAAGATTTCAATAATGACACTTTACTGGACATTATCGTCGCCAATTATGGAACCAATAACGTAGGCATATTGCTTGGATATGGTAATGGCTCATTTGCAAGTGTTAAGATTTTCTCAACCGGTTATGGGTCTTTTCCATTCATGGTTGTCGTTGGTGATTTTAACAATGACGAGAGACTAGATTTTGCAGTCGCCAACGAAGGTACTGACAATTTAAAAATTTTCTTACAGACTTGTTAATGTTGCAATTCCCACCTTGAACTCTTCTTTATTTCGTTCACTGTTATTAACTTCTACTTAGTGCTACTAATATTTCTTGTACGATTTTTGCAATTAATATTGTCAGTTTTATGCTCATATAAACTGCTGTCGAGGGTGGATATCTCAGCGAAACTATGATGCATTGCAACTCTGCTTAATAATTTTATCACATATCTTTGATTAACATAAGTATGCATTCAAACAACTTGAACAGTACAAAATGATGATAGGTAATCTAGAAAGCTACGAATTCACGTGAATCAATCAGAAACCAATCGACCTATCTCTTGAACAAGAGACAAATTGAACTACAGGGTGTTCCATAAATAGCACTACGATAAAAAATTCAAATATCTCAACCCCAGTTCAATGAAATGGGCTAATTTTTTGGTTAGTGGTAGAACTTCATTCAAAATTTTGTTTTTCATACGGATAATGTAAGCAAATACTTTTATTAAGTATAATTGTTGACCTCCGTACAGAAATTTTATTTGTAATCCTGTAAGAAAAACACATGTGAACCGTTCCATAGGTAAATTTTAGTGGTCATCTATGGGAATAGTAAGCAGAAATCAAAACACATTTTATAAATAATACAACATTGATGCAAATAGACCAATCGTTCAGCAATAGCTAGTTTAAACATCAAGAAATACAATATTTCGAATTTTCAACCATGAAACACTGTTTTTTTTCGAGGAAGTTGCTAACTCAATGCCTAAACGTCTTTAATTATGTATTTTACTTTTCAGACACAAATTATATCATTTAAAGAAGGTATTTTAGAAAATTTGGTCTCTTTACATCAAAATTGTATCATTCATAAAGTGCGTTTTGATTTCCGCTTGATGTTCTCTTAGATAACAACTAGAATTTATCCATAGAACGCTTCACATATATTTTTCTTACATGATGACATATACAATTTCATTAGTGAACCAACAATAACACTTAGCAGAAGTATTAGCTTACATTATCCATGTGAGAAAAATTTTGAATAAAGTTCTACCCCTAACGAAAAAATTAACCCATTTGATTGAATCGGATTAGAGATATTTGAATTTTTTATCGGGATGGGGTGTGCGTGGACTAAGAAATACCCACATCGACCCACACCCACCCACACCCACACCCACACCCACAACCTGATTCAAGATGATTGGTTGAGACAATAGGAATAGAGAGAAGTACTTATGAAGAGTTCGAACCATTATAATCAAAATAGAAGAAACAAGCATCGAGAAACATTTCATGTTCAAGTCACATCGATGGCTGATGATTGTTTAGTTATTAACAGCTCCAATATGGCTTCTTCAAATATTCTTGTCGTTGCTTGAAGTAAAACTTCTTAGTCATTCTATCAGACAATAAGACAAAATAACTGATCATTGCTGGGCTAGTTATTGATCATATCATAAGAAACTCTTATACAGATTTTTCTTGTACAAATAGTGTATCCTTATCCATTTGAAACGTATTCAAAAGCACTTACATAAGTGCCCACTGGCTCTTCGTAAATAGAAAAACTATAATATACATTAAGCTTCCACATATGAAAAACAATGAGTACAGTAACTCTTGATAACAGATTATCAGTAACATTTTATATTTAAAATGGCGAGGACAAATAGAATTACGGGTGAATACAGTCCAGATATCATCATTTCAAAGAGATTATCCTAGCGAGCATAGGTTTCTCTCTTAAGTTGAGCATTTTTCTTTCGCTTTATTGTACATATATTATGTAGAACTGATTTAACTAGTAGCAAGTTCAATATTTTGGGCACGAGCAACTGAGGATCATCACTAACAGTAAGAAGAATCGAACAAAGAAAAATGTTTTGCTTTTGTGCTTCAAACACATATTCGACTATGGTTATGTCATTTTCACTATCAGTTTATTTTTGAAAAAAGGTCATTAGAAAGGGTATTTAATATAAAATGACTTTTACATCAAAATCACAATCATTGATGCTGTAATCTAGATTTCAATAGGATCAGATATGGCTTTTTCTCCTAAAGACAACAGTTACATCAAACACAAACGGAATTTCTCATTTACAGACCTGTTGAGACCTCCATACGGTACATCTCTGAATAAATGGAACAGTAAGTATTTCTCCTCAGCTAGATTTGTAGGAAATATGACACTGATTGTTTAAAATACTAAAAGTTACTAAAAAGCTGTTTTATAGATATCTAAGCTCGTCTTTTTATTCTTCGTCTGATTTGGAAATGAAAGGTTCGTTTTGAATGAAATTTTATATTGTAATCATACTCTCTTAACACTTAATAACAATTCAAGCTGATTTTTAAATTGAATATGACATATAAATATCACATTGTGATTGATTTTACTTTCATGTATCCTCACTTCCACATTTCTCTAGAGAACACATAAACAGTTTGGGCGATTTGGAAAAAAGATATTCTTAGTTGGTACGATTGATTGTACTTAACTGCGTCTTTTGCTGATTCGAATATGTGATGCAAAATCTCCTATGACCTATGTAAGAAGACTTTCGGCGTAGAAAGTCTCTATGAAAGATTATGGAGAAGTTGTATTATTTCTGATTTAATTTGAGTGGTGCTATCTTTTTCTTTCTGCTCAGATTGAATTTTAAGTCGTATAAAAAATGAATTCCCGCAAGGAGTTAGAAAACCGATTCGTTCTTCGTCGTGCTTCAACGCTGATAGTGTTTCACTCCCTCAACTTAGCCACTACTACCAATCTCTAGTATCACGCAGTTGCAAATTGTGTTATGATTGGCGAATTTTGCGCGATCATCCATTTCTTGTAACAAAATGTAATTGTACGAAAATATCTAATCTGCTATTAATAAACGAATAAGAATACCCACAAGGACCATTCATTAAAAAAGATCCATTTAAAAATATTCTCCATGTTCATTACACTACAAAAAAACATGAGAATACTTTTGAAATATAGAAGCAGATTATAAATTATGTTTTGAGGTCAACCTGTTGCAATAAAGATAGACGAATGTTGGAAAATGTAAATCTTGGAGGACAGAATGTGGGTAAAGATGTCGATGTGAGTGTCGATATTGGTCCTCGCTTCATTTATATCTACACCCATAAACCCATATGCACACATCCTTTTTGAAGGACATGTAATCATCGAGAGTTAAAGGAAGTAAAAATTCAATATTGTACAAAAGTATATTACATTTACTCCTTTCTATCTTTTTCATATCTATGAAATGAAAACGATTTAAATTGTTTTTGTCATATTTATTACAACATAAAAAGCAAATGACGAAGTGCAATAATAGCTCTGATACTGGTCAATGTCTATGATGTAATGTCATCAATAGCCATGCATTATTTTAGGCGGTGATCGTAGTGTGGGTATGGGTGTGCTTGTGAGTGAGAATGACACTCGCTAAGTTCTGCCATTCATTAGTATTAACATTCAACGACTTCTTCGCCGAAATCTAGCTCCACATTGCTTTGAATAGTACGATGTGATAAAATAATTATAAACACGGTGCTACACGACAACAATTTTTAATCTTCTCGATTATTCCAACCAGATAAGGCACTGCAAATCTTAGTGCATTGCATAGACCGGCAAAAACACTCAAGAATGTGGTCAAGAGGTCTAGAGCCTTAAATCGATAATGATATGTGTATGTGCACTGTTTTGGATTACAGGCATTGAAATACATTTCATAAGACACATTTCTCATCCATGATTCAATAAACATGTCGTAAGCCATTCTTTCAATTGTGTCATTCACGTCAAATCGTGTCAAAGTGGCATTCAAAACAAAAGAGCTACACTTTAGTCCATTGCAAAATGCTTGATTCCAATCGTACATTGGGCTTAGTATAAGTCGCAAGTCGTCGATGCATTCTAATGAATAGAAGCAGGACAAAGAAGAGCGCAGGACTGTCTCAAGTATGAAGCAACCAAGAACCAAACCTTTGATTTTATAATCATCTGGGGAGTCAGAACCATGATATGTAGCTGGCACTGAGCAAGCTTTCGAAGTGGCACAAGAACAAGTTTTGCCATGATCGCTTATATTGCGGATTACGGGCACAGTTAGAAAAGAAGCATCTTTGTTTGTATAGTTTTCAACAATAATAAACTCCCAATTCGACGAAAATACACCCATCAGAGCATTTCCTTGCGTATTTGCCCGAATAAGATCCAGTGTTTGAGCAAATGTAATGGGCGTTGCTATTTGTAAACGTTGCAAAATCGCATTCATTTCGTTATAAAACTCTTCTTGAGTTACTATTTGGTATGTGAGCATACTTGAATCCAAAAATGAACGAATAGTGTCATTCCCAGTTCTCTGTGCCATTTCACAAATTTTCATAAGGCCATCAAGAAAGACTCTATTCCACGACAAAAAAGCATTTCGATTATCGATCTCTACCCCAATTTCCATCGGAATAAAATTCGTCAAAACTACCGATAGAATGTCGCTAGTGCATACTTGGTGATATTCGACGTTGAGTTCAGGAATAAATGTACTATACGGTATCGATATGGTTGTACACGGGCAATTAAGACTGTCAAGACGAAGATGAATGAGATGTTCATAGTCGGTAACAGATGGTTCTAGCTGAGTTTTTGAGATGATACGATTAATAATAGATGAATAAAAACCCAATACTCCGAGAGAACTTATTAGAAGAACTAGATATACTCGTGTGTACACTTTTTGTCTTTGTATGTCGACTGCAAGATTGGAATCCGTTTGAAATAGATTTATTGCCTTTATCGGTTCAATGATCTTAGTTACGAAATAATTGCCGCGTGGTCTAATAGTTGCTGATTCTAAACAATAACAGTAATGAGTACTCACTGCTCAAGAAATACTAGCTTTTTCTGGACAGAAAACACAGGAAATGGGTAACAACTTACAAGCAAGTACCCGGTGGTTGGCTGCGATTATCTACTCTGATGGGCTACAGCTGGACGCGACCTGAACTAAAGAAAT